ATGCTCTGCAGTCCCTCACAACATGGCATCCCCTTTTACAGACTGAAGTCTCATAAAGGCTTGTGAAATGCCAATAAATGTTCCTTGGCTTTTACAAATCCACATTATACTGAGGAGCTTGTTCCTAGCTACTCCATCTAAGGTCCTGCTGCTCCTCTTCTTATCAGCTTAGGAGCTTCCAATTTATAGCAATTGTTTTTGCCCCCAGCCCTGCCCGCTACACCTACAGGAGTGCATCCCTCTTCTGCCATTGCCATCAGTCTCCTCAGTTGTTACCGCCAAGAGGCCACCTTCACAAACTACAAGCCATCAGCATGTCCTTCACAGGTGCTGCTTGCCAACACTCCTGCTTCTTGTCCAGGGGTGGTCCCAAAAGGACCTGGAGCAAATGCAAGACCTGGTTCTTTATTCTGTGTTTCTCAGGCCAGACCACACCTCTTTGCTCTGGGGGAGATGTCAGTACGGAAGTTCAGTGCAGCTGTTCTTCCCACAGGCAGTGAGATCCTGGGTACTAAGCTGTCCAAGTTCTGCATTTGCCATGGATGGCAACATCTCTGCTCCTGTGCAGCAGCCCCTTTCCTTCTGCCTTGCCCATTATCTGGGCCCCAGCATTTCATTCCAAGCTTGCAGAAAGCAGTCTCAGGGACGAAGGGTGAAGCACACTGGGCTGATAACCATTCTCGGCTGCACTGCAAAATATTTTATATGTAAGTGGTACAGCAGTCAGGGATGGAGCTGGTGACCTGAATGTCTTTTCCACTAAAGGTAGACTGCCATTTCCATTTCTGGCAGCATTAACGTACTTCACATTTTTTATGTGATTCAACCAATGCCAGAGCCTGCTGGGCAAGGAGTTTTTAAGGGTATGGGTGAATAAAGAAGGAAACCTGACAGGAGCAGAATTCAATATACTTATAGGCCTGCTTAGAAACTTATAACCTAGATCAAGGGGAAGAAAATTACTCCAATTATGTTTTAAACTCTTGAAAAAAAGCAGCTCCAAATTGGTGCTTTATGTACAATTATAAAAGCTTATGAGGTGAGAAAATGCTAGAAAGGAAATAAAATGAAGCTGAATTTTGTCAGAGGAACTGTTCTACTTGGCAAATCTGTAACTCAATCAGTTTAAGTCGCAGAAGTCATCAATGATTTGCATTTATTTAGAATATTTCTTGCAGTATATATTGCCAAATCTCCATTCCACTGGCACCAATATTTTAGGTAGTTTTCAGGCAAAACTGACTTTTCTTTTTTTAAACCTGGACATTTCTTCCAATTGCTGTTCTTCCTAAAAGTACTTGCTATTCATGGCATGCTTTCAAATTTTTAAAACTTAAAAGCCAGCTCCAACTGTGCCACAGGAAAGGTCAGCACGCTGTGAAACTCACCCGAGCCACCCTGCTGGTGGCCAGGGGCACACTGGCAGTTTCACAGCACAGCATGTCCTCGCAGCACTGAGCAACCCAGCAGAGGCAGCAGCCTCCTGGTTGGTTCAGTGGACTGCAGGAAACCATTTACGACTTGTTTGCGCACTAAATATCCATGTCTCTGTATGGGCGGTTTAAGCCACTCTGCTTAGCTTTTGAAAATACAGATGTGTTCAGAATCCTTGCTAAACCTTTCCTTGAAGTGTAAATCTCTCATATAAATATTAAACAGAACTTTCAGTAATGGCCATGGAGAAAGAAAAATGTCCTCCTGCCTACAATGCAACAAAAAGTCACCTCACTGTACCCTGGGTTCAAAATCTAAGCTGCACTTCATAAAGACACGTTTTAATAAATTAAACATTTATTGAAAATATGACATTATCCTTTATTTTGCTTATTTGCCCCAGTGCAAAATTAAGCTATTTAAGATGTAAATAACAGAATAACAAGCAGCTTCATAAAATGAAAGACCAAATACATTTATAATACGATCATACTCTTTAATCTGGTACATATAGAACTGTGAGGTGGGAGGGAATAATCCATTTTATGGTCTCATATACAACCTATGGTGTTGGACACATTTCTGTTATTAAAAGCCACTGTTTAGCAGTATAACATACATCTAAAAACTGACAGTATGATGCATCAGCCATTAAATATACTATTTGTAGACAAGACTCATTAGAGGTGGGAAAAGGATTAAAATAAAAAGAAAAGCACCAAGGGCTCCACGGCACCCCTAGGACAAAGTGTTTTGCAGGGAGGGTGCGGTGCCGTCTGCCGGCGCTCCACCGCGATGTGCCGCCAGGACGGGCGGCTGGGCTCCTCCCGCACGGAGGCTGCGGAAATGCGCTTCTTTGGGAGAGTAACCATCAAAGCCTTGCCAACGCAGGGTTGTTTCAGACACCCAGCTTATTGGCCTGGGTGAGGACGACTTTCAGAACAGGCATGAAAGCCGAGGTCTCGCTGAAGTTGCTGGTGCTGACTATGTGCGTGTGGATGTTCAGTCCTTCCTGGTAGTTGCGGGTCTCAACACTCTTCACAATGTTGTGCAAACCGCTGATGATGGTTGGGGAGAGCTGCAAGGAAGCCAGGCAAGGCAGGTCAACAGAAAGGAAAAACAGCAAGTACACTAGTGCTAGAAAAAAAACTAGAAACCCCAAGTGTAATATTTGGCCCTCAGGAAGGTACCGCAATTAGTTCCTTTCTTTAAAGATGGGCATCTTCAAAGCTGCACCACACTGGGAACAGCCACTGGGAAGTCTACCAGCAGACTTAACCAGAACATGCCTTCTTCTGCAGTACTGCAAAAGCCCTGCAGGCCTTCACTTCTAGCTCCCTGGATGCAGCTCCCCGAGGTGGGAGACCTGCTGTGATAGATTGTGGTGCATGAAAAACCTACTAAGCTTTTATGCTTTTGGGGTAAAGTTAATCGCTCAGCAAAGATGGGCTGACAATGACAGGATTAGACCACTCTAATCCTAAGGTACTAAGAGATCTAGGTCAAATTCTTTCTTCTGCCACAAGCCTCCTGGAAGTCTTTGCAAAAAATTGCCAGCTGTGTCTCTCACTTCCTGTTGGGAGTGAGCAAACTTGCTGTGTCAGCTCACTCTGCCAGCAGCTGGGGACAGGGACACTCCTGATGCATTCATACAGTGCCTGCTGCATGGAGCTCTGCTCTTGGCTCAGCATGATCCCTTCACAGCACCATAAAACAAATGGCATGACCCCAAAACACTGTAAAGTCTGTGTGGGCTCTTGGGGCCAAGCACTCTACCACGCTGTTTTGGGGAAATGCACGGGAGCAAACAATAAATGGATCTGAAGTATTCTTCCATAGAAGGCAGAAACGCCTGCTACATATTGCAGAGGGGTCCACACCACCAATGAAGTTCTTGGCCATCCCTGCAATATTTGGTGTGGGGGTGGGGTCGGGCTGTGGAAGGGTAAAAGAGTAAAACAGGACTTACTGTCTGTTCCCTAAGTTTGTCATACAGAAACTCCAGGCGTTTATTTGCATCATCTAGCTTCCTCTTGGTTTGCTGCAAGGAAACATTAAAACACAGTGATTAAAAACACCATCCTGATCTGATACCATGCACAGAGGTCCACAGCACATGAAATTCCCTTCTCAAGAACATTTCCTTAACACATCACTTCTTGAATTCTTTGCTCTGTACTTTTCTCCCCTGATTTCGCTAGGAAAGACCATGTGATACGACTGTAACACATGTAACTGCTCTAGCTGGCTACAGAGAATAGCAGACTGTGGAAGTGAATCCCAAAAGCCACTGGTCATTTGCAAAGCCCTCTGGTATAGCTGATATGGGAACTGACAGAATTCTGAGTTG